GCCCCCCTCCCCGTGGGGTCCTGCAGTCGGCGCACCGGAGATGAGGGGGAAAATACCCCGAATGCGGGTGCGGTTTGTAGTGGGGTTTGTCCTCTGTAAACGCTGAATGATTTCTGCGGAAATCCAAAGCATTACGGCTTTAGAATTCAATTTGTTTAGGGTTTTTGTTGTTGTTGTCGTTTTCTCTATGATAGTTTTTATGGGGCTGTCAGAGGTTTTATTGCATGCTCTCTTCTGCTCCTTCCCGAGCAACACTGAAGACTGGACGGCTGCCCATTCCAAGTGAGTAGACTCCCCTGCAGTCCTAGAAGACTACTGGAAGTATAGAAGAATTTTCTTCTCTTACCCTCCAGTATCAACTAAAACTCAAAAGGCAGCCAGTTAAATAGGTGGAACTGATCTGTGTTGTCCACTATTTAACAACATCCCTTTATGTTTCTGGGGAAAAAAATATCTTTCGTCTTTCATAGGACCCTGTACCTCATGCATAACATCCGATGCCATGTCAGACAACAGGAGTGTCATTCAAATAGTGATGTCTGTGAGGTGCTGCACAGAGCCCCCAGTCCCACCTTGCAGTGTCTGACTGAACACTCTCTGCACAAAGTGAGCAGCTTGAAACTTTCAGGTCTGTATTTCTCCACAGGCATGGGTGAACTGGCAACCAGTACCTAGGGAAGATACAGATTTTGGAAGGTGAGGAATTAGCCTGACAGTCCTGGCCATCTTTGTGTGGCAATGCACCGGCTGGGAATTAGGAATCTCTAAACTTTCATACAAGCAAGCAGAAAAACCCTTCCCAACATAAACTGTCATATGGCAACATTACTGAGTACTGTTAGACTTCTGCCATGTTCCAGTGACAGCTTTTCCGTAGAAATTGAAATTATTTCACTGTAGAAAGTTAGTTAAGTGCTTCGGGTTTCTTCTTGGTTAAGATTACAAAGAGAACATAAAATCCTCTAAACCATGCTTTTTACTCGACAACACTATAGCCTTATTTTTAACACATAACAAAAGTAAATAACAAACTTCCTTCTAACTGCTAGGGGAGAGAATATAAGTAATTACTAACATTAACAATGTTAATATCAATAATTAACATGTTTCACAATTGAAGTGAAAACAGAGGACAGGTAATCTCTTCTACATCTGAACTATACAAAAGGCTTTTTCTAGTTACAGTTGTTGATGGCCAACTATTGCCATGTATCATGTCTAGCAACCCTCAATACAGAGAGGCAAAGACCTTGTCCATCACAGTTTGTGTTTATTAGTTTAGCCTCAGACACAGGTAAATTGCACTGCTATAAAATCATTTTTTATAGCTCTTGTGCCTGCATGCCATGAAATTCTGTGCCATTACAATTATATCAGAAACTGTTGCTCACTTCTGAATTCCCAATACATGGTTCATTTTTCCCCTTTCCTAAAGTATTGTTCAGGTTCAACATCTTTGGATATCTTTGGTTTCTGTACTGAAATAATACAATAAAATCTCCAGTATTTTTCCTCCATGTTCTAGATCCAGTCTCTAGGGAAGCTGTGTACTTACATGGTCTTACATATTGATGAAATTATTTCCTAAACTTTAGGGCTGGGATTTTTTGGAATAATGTAACTGAATTTTGTTTGGTTTTGGTTTAATTTTTTTAAATCACATTTGTAAGCAGTCAGAAAGAAGATATGTTGTCAGAATTTGAAAGAAAAATAATAGCAGATTGCCAATCTGTACTGCTCAATGCAATATTCTCTCACATTACCATATCAGTTTGAAAACCAAATAGGTAAGCATTCTTTTCAGTCTCTGACTCCTTTGTTTGAATTAGTTTTGAATATAACACCTAAGGAAATTATCATAGTCTGTACTAGTAACATCTTCCTTTAAAAATGCCAGAGTGCTGTTACTGTCCAGAACACATATACTGTTGTCCTGAGTTATCCTGAAGTAGCATCAGTGAAGTATCTTTCTCTACTTTAACCAGAACCTTCTGCAGCTTGGAATGGAATCAAGGCACTGACAGTAGTTAGTCAAACAGATCTAACTTCATCAAATTGCTGTTCTGTGGGACATGTTAGCATGTGGGGTGCTGTATGGAGACCGAATGGTTCAAACTAAATTGAATTGAGCCTGGACAGACTCAATGGACAGATGAAGTCAGAGGTCTGTTTGTGCACACTGCTTGAGCAGCTTAATTATGTAGGATGATTATAGTCTCCTCCATACCTCAAAACCAGCATGAAATAAAAAAAAAAAAAAAAAAAAAAAGGTTTTGTTTGGAATTTCAAGAAATAGGCAGTAGAGGGGAGGAGTCAACTGGAAAGGAAATGGGAGATAATGAACAGGGTTATAGACTTGTAGATGCCCTTGGAAATGAAGGTAAGTAAATAATGTTTGATACAATACCAAAGAGGGAAATAGGAGAATGCTTCAAATAGTGATGTAGAATAATGATGTACCTAAACAATCTTGGGTTGCAGTTTCAGAGTTGCTTATTCCAAGGCTGTGCACAGTCTCCCAGCAGTACTAAACTGATCTGGATCAGGTATGGTACATGGTGTCACATTGCTTTCATGTTAGCTTCTGTCCATGCTACAGAGTTTTTGTTCTGCCTCTGGAAGGACTGACAATAACTGATCTGGGTTTAAAGTCTGCTGATAGAAAGTTATCACTTTAACATTTTTCTGAACAAATTTGAATTGCCAAAATTAGTTAAATTCCATTAGTCATTTCCATTTGATGGCTGTGGTATATTTGATTATTAATAGGAGGCCTACAGTCAGCTTTACTCTGTTGTCAGATCATGGCATTTAGAGCAGTCCATGGCTGTTGTGTTATGAGCTGTGTTGGTTAATGCTGGAGGGAGAGGTATCAGGGTGCTCTATGTATGTCAGCAAGAGAACTAAACAAGGGTCTTAGTTGCATGGATGGATCAAAGGACTTTGTCTTGGAGCTGCCATATAGGAGTATGTATCCTGAGTGCTAGGATCAACCAAGAGGTTTCAGTCAGACCTGACAGCTGACAAACCAGCCTGAGTGGCAGGTAAATGCTATCCACAGATACACACAGTGAAGATAATAAGAGGGCTTTCAGGGAAGAGTTCTAGCTCTGCTGAGCTTCAACTTCCTGCTAGTTATCCATAGAAGCAAGAAAAAGAGTATGATTTGAGTTTGGATAGAGGGAGATAGATCTGAGGAAAGGAGCAGCTCCATAAATCATCTGCAGAGAGATATTTAATTGTATTTCAGAGGAGATAACTCAGAGATAATATGGGAGCATAAAAGGAGAAGACCAAGGATATAGCTCTCTGAGAGGCTCTCAAACACTTGAAAGGAAGGCTTAAACAGGTGAAAAGAAAAGTAGGTGAAGCATGGTCAATTTTGTCAGGTCAGAGAGAATGAGCTTTAAATACACTTTTTTGAGTTCTGTTGAACTTTTGAATGGCTCTGGTTAATTTGGAGTGGAAACTGAGAAGTTTGGACACTGATAGTTGGATGTCTATGGAGTGAGTCAGAGAGAGAGAGCAGCCAATTAGAGAAGTGGAGCAGAGTCAAGGCTATTAATTTTTTGTTGTTGGTTGGTTGGTTGGTTGGTTGGGTTTTTTGAGGGAAAATAGAAAGAAATGGAGGGTAAACCAAGAAGACTATATCATATTTTAGCCATATCATTTTTTAGAAATAATTGTCCTTGTGTTATTCCTTCTAGTGAAAATGTGATGGCTTTTGGGCTTTTTTCCTTTTGGTCACTAATTTCAAGGACCAGAAAGATAGGAAGAACAAGGACTGTTCTCTCAAATGTTTATTTGACTCATGAAAGTGTTCCAATTAATGCCAAAATCAGCACAGGTTAGTCTGGAGTGCCCAGATGAGAGCTGAGTTTTGGGAGGGGGGGGATGTCATACTCTTAGCAGCCATAAACTGTGAGGTTGACTGAATGTGCCTTCTGGACTGAACCACTGGGGTAAGTTAAGTGCTCTTCAAGAAATGGAATTGTGAAATTCCTCTCAGCTTCTACATAAGCAGTGAAAAGAGTTGGCAATTAAGGAAGAAATACATTGGTGATGATCGACATTAATACAACTCATCCTCATGGGATCTGGCAGCTTACATACCTCTGAGAGTGTTTTTTTTTCAAATTCTTTGCAAACCCGGCAAACATTGGCAGATCCCTGCAGTGAGCAACCACTGACTCATCTTTTGGCTTAGGATGTAGTTTCACTGAGATCTGGCTGTATGGTGAGATACTACAAGGAGTTAAACCAGGAGAAATCTCCATTTTTTCACTGTGCCAGCTTTCTGCTCACTTAATTCCTTGAATCAAACTGGCACCAGTGGTTGCAGAAGTGAGGCTGTAGAAGAATGCCAACAGGTAGAAGAGGGAAGCAGAACTGTCTTTTCAACAGAAGCTAAACCTTCTATCCACCTTGTTGCAGTGTGAAACTCCACCTGTAGGATGTGGCCTTACAGTTGATTGAAACTGATCTCATTCTGACTTCTTGAGGAAGGAAGAAATCCTACTGCCTCCCCAGTATCAACCCTCTTAAAACAAACCCTGCTCAAAATGGCTTGTTTACATATGTAGGCATGGGGTTACTAGCATTGACAGAAGGAAGATAAATCACCTTAGGAGTTGAAATGCGAGTTTGGTTTTCTTTTGTAGCTTGGGATGGGGCCCCAAAGAGAGTGTTATTAATGAGCTACTGGGGACTACATGCAGCTCTCTGCTCACTGTCTGCTACCAGCAACTTAGTCTTGACTGGAGCTTCTTTACTTTGATATTCCACAATCATTGATTTTCCTTTGAACACTGAGTCACTTACCCTAGTCTTCTCCCTCCTAAAGGATGAGCTAATATAATTATAAAAATAATTCTTTTTCTGTGATCAGCAGAACAAGCGAAGCCTGGTTTCCTATGGATTGTCCTGATGTGCCACTGCTATGTGGATTCTCATATGTGTATGCAGTGTCTGCACATGCTTGCCATTTTATCAGTGACAGCTTTATTAGGACCTGTTTCATCCATTTGGCTTTTCATTTCACTTAAGTTACTTTTGTACAAATTTAGATGGAATTGAGCAATGGTTTAAACATGCTTTCTTGGCAAGGAAAGTGGGGGAAATAATGTGACCCACAGACAAAAACACCAACAGACAGTGTAATTGCATAAGCCTTCTTTCCTTAGGAAATCAGGCTAAAATTGAGTCTTTTGACAGAGACCTCTGCAGAGATCTCAGATCATGCTATAGAAACAGAAAAGTAAATCTTGCTATTTACCATGTAAAGGCTTTCAGTTACCTGCTGTAACAGATTTCTTATATGTAAGGCTAAGCCAGCAGTTGGTGTTTACTCACATGGTTACCTTCTCTCAGCAAGGTCCCCATCAGGCATTGGGAACTTGGGGTTTTTTTGTGTTTTTTTTTTTTTTTTTTTTTTTGCCAGAGTGCACTCATGCATCAGTTGCTTTCATTTATTTTTAATTTAATCTTTATACTTGAATAAATGGCTATGTAGGTAGCAAGACAAGCTGTTAAAGATACTTGTGGTTTACAGAACTCTCTAATGTCAGTGATGACATGAAAAATAAAGGCTTTAAATGCAACCAGGAATACAATCCTGTTACTTGGAGAAAAGCTAGCATCTTCTCTCTGAGACTTTTATTATGTAATAAGTGTTGTGGTATTTTATTGCCTTTTTTCTCTATTTTAACTTTACACTTAAACATCTATTACTTTAGAAACTAAAATATAAATTTTGTAAAAGGAAAACCTGGCCTATTTTGAATTCTTGTGTGGATGCCAGTTTATTAAAAATGGGTCCAGCTATGAACAATCTTTGCAGATTTGTTTGGTATTCTGAGCTCATCTTGAGCTTTAATTTCTCTTAAGAATGCCTTACCTGCCCCACAATAAGGGAGCTGCATCCTGGAGCCCAGACAAACCATCTTCTTAGATCTCCTTCCAGTCTGGGCCTTAAACAAGTCTGCTGTGTCCCCAGGTGTTACCTTTTTCCCTTGAACTCATTTACTCAGCCAAAGTGAACTCATGAACTCAGACAGATCAGTCCCCAGATTCTCTGACCCATCATTACAGAAATGTGGGTGCTGGAGCAAGGAGTGAGCAGTCGAATCACAGGTACAACAGGAACTGTGGGACTATCCTTCCAAGTGGCCATCCAGGTTTATGCTAGACTACAATGAACAAATAGAACAAAGCATTATACCATGGGGGTGGGATGTGTGAAGGGAAGAGAGAGGGAAAGGAGGCGGCAGGACATGTCCTTCTGACTACAGAAACTCACTTACAGACAGACCCCTCTAGTTCTCTCTCCTGAGCATGTATGTGATGCACTTTTCTTCTTGAGCACAAGTTGTATGAGGAGCTTCAGAGTAGTGCTGGCTCCTGCTTGGTGACCTCCATTTCAGCTGATCAGCAGTGTCTGGGGCATTGGAGCATTGGGGATAGATGGAGAGGCTGTGGCCGGATTGTGACTTTAAGGCAGGTGCAGATCTTTCCTGTAGAGGAGAATGAACCAGAGACAAGATGTGTGAGATTGCAATACTTTGTAACCCCTAGTGGATTAATATAAAAAATGGATAAAAATCTCTTCACTGTAGAGAAGGACCGAGATGCTTTGCAGAAACATGTATTATACAGAAGCTGTAACTCTGAGGTATAAAGCATTTGTACGTTCAAAATACAGATGCAAGTCAATGGAAAACAAACTTCACTGGTGTGACCCCACTACCAGTGAGACCTGACATGGTCACACCACGTTGGTTTAGACCAGGTCCTTAGAACAGTAGCTGCTCAACCTTTAATGACCTTGTCATCTTCTTTCTGATTAAGGAGATGGCCTTATTTGCTCAGAAAAGTGCTCTTCTGGAAATCACCTGTGTTCCTTTTGTGCTATCAATAGGTCCATAGGCATTCCCGAGTTAAGAAATAAGAAGGGGGACAATAAAGATTGAGCATTCACCTACAGACAGAAAAAAAATACTGCTTCTACAGAGATTTTCCCTGATTAGCAGCCATTAGCTGCTTTGTTGCACTCCTTGGATAATGTGTCTGCTCATTACCAAGTCTTTGCTAGGGAGATCCTCCTACCCTGATGATTACAAGTGGCAAAGTTAAAACAAAGCAACATTTGATGCTGTCAAATTGTTAAAGCAATCTTTCTTGTGGGCTTAGTATCTACTTCAAACAAACACAGCTAGCTGGAATTCTAACAGCACAAAAATTGGGAAATATTTGGAATTATAAAGGAGTTTGAAGACACTGCGTGCTTAAATCCTTCGCAACAGAATTTGGTCTGGAAACGTGTTTGCTTTTTGACAATGTTGGTCTCAAAACTTGATGATCATAACCCTGAACATAGCAGCTGCCTGAATACTCACTGTCCATGTTTTGCAGTATCACGCTTCTAACGTTCGTATTTTCCCACACACAAGGCACAATTGTCATGATTATTCCTCTGTTAATTTTTTTAGTATTTACCACTCGATTTTCCCTCTCTTTGTTTTCTTCCAGCTTGCCACTTCGAGGCGGCTACGCATTGCTATTTATTTTCCTGGCTGCCTTTGTTCTTTACTTCCCCTTCTCTCTGGTCCCTCCTGCCCCAGGGGCTCCCCGTTCCTCCGGGCCGGGTGGCTTCCACTGCCCCGGCTGCGGCTCGCTCCTCGAGCCCTCCTAATCGCAGACAACAATCCGTTCTTTCCACTTCAAAAGTCTCCTAAACAGAGCTCGCTCTCCAGTGTTTTCGCAGTGCTCTGTGCCCCGGCTGAAGGCAGGGTGACGCCTGTCCAGGCACACAGCCGCCCCCACACCAGCTGCCGTACAACATGGCGGCGCCCGCCGACACAGAGGAAGCGTCCGCCGCTCTAAGCCTCCCGGTGCGTGTGGCGACTGCCCCGCCGGGGGTTCCTGCCGCCGGACGCAGCCGTTCCGCGGGACGCAGGCAGCGAGCGGGTCGGTGTGCGCCCGGCGGGCCCCGCGGGCGGGCGGCGGGGCCGGGCGTGAGGGGAGAGGCTGCTCCGCAGGTGCCCCGGTGTGCGGTCCGGTGCGCCCGCGGCCTCCCGCCTGCTCCCTTCGTGCCGGAGCGGCGTCCGGGCCTCTTGCGGGATATCCCCGGCCGAGCCTAAGGCGGGCAACGCCTTCGCTCTGGACCTCTTGGCCGGCCCGCGGGAGCGCTCGGCTCGGGGCCCCGGCCTTGGCGCTGCTGCCCCCGCGCTGGGCAGGGGACCGGGTTGTCCCATCGGGGCTTCCCTGCCCAGGCGGGATGGGGGATCCGCACGAGGGGCTGCCTGGGGTCACAGGCAGGAGGGGCCGCAGGTGCCCGGGGCCCTGCTGGCGTTCAGCCTTCTCGCTCTCTAGGAGGCGGGAGGGAATTGCTGTCACTTCGCAGGCGTTTAGGCAGGTGCCCGGCCCGCGATCGGGGTGCTGACGGCGGTTCTGCAGGGCTGTAGCAGCACCCACACCAGAACTTCTGCTGGTGTGGAAGAGTGCGTCAGAGCAGCCCTTTAGAAGCTACGCGGTGGGTTGGGAAGGTGGGGATGCAGGGACGGGATTGATTTCAGTTTACTGAAGGGGTACTAAGCTTTTGTATGATAGAGGGAAAGCTGTGTTATGAATAGATGCTGCTTCTTTAGGACTTTTCAATGCCCAAAGAGCCATTTGACCCTAGTATGGATGTGAATGTAATGGACAAATGCCTATTGTTTACTAATGCGTGAACTGACATGCTTATTCTGCAACAATTCCATCTTGCCCTTGTTTAGGTTGATCGAGTTCCAAACAGAACTAAAAGTTGTTGGTAATAACCCGGACTAGTTTATTTTTGGAATATCAGAGTTTGAGGAAGCATCCAGTTTCACCATTACAAATTAATGCATTCCCTTTAAGGTTTTCTGTGGTGGTGTCAACAGCAGCGTTCAGTCTCCTGTTACTGCTCAATCCACCACTGCAGTGATCTGGCCCCAGACCCCCAAGTCTAAGTGAGTTCTTCTGTCAGGATCACAAGTTGTGGCTAGGACCTTGCTATGTATACCATTGCATGTATTTAATATCTCTAAACACATTTTGTTAAGTTGTCCCTAATTTCCAGCTCTCATTTTTCTTTGCAGGCCATGATGAAATCCTACAATGCCATTTTGTGTGGGTGAAGTGAAGGGGTAGAAAAGGAAATAAAAAAAAATGCCCAAGCAAACAGCAGTGACAATAACTTTGGCGACCCTGCTGGGTGTTGCAGTGGGAGGCCTGGTTTTGTGGAAGGCATCCCAACGTCGGAAAGGAAAAGCATACCATGATAGTCAGCAAGAAGAAGCAGCTATAAAGTCGGGAGATGAGAAACTCATTAAAACAGAGGATAAGGAGGTGCTTTCCTTCTTCAAATCTCCCACCTTTTCCTGGGTAGAGAGGACCCTTGGTGCAGACATAGTGATAGTTTCAGAGCAGGAGGAGTGGGATCGCGTTGAACCATTGCTGAAGAAGGAGCTGGAGAAGTGGCCGGTGCTTGGAATTGATTGTGAGTGGGTGAGTGACCAAGAAGCGCCTCTCCTTTAGATTGCGAATTGCAACGGTGAAAGTGGGGAGATTCCTTTATTTAAATGGATATTCTAGGACTGTTGAAACTACCTGTGGGATTGTCTGTCCTGACAGCAGTGAAATAGCTGCTAATTTTGATTGCTCTTACTTTTAAGTATGCTATGTTTTTAATTCACTGTTTACCAAGCTCCTGTGCTAAATCGACTTTACTAAATATAGTGATAATTGTATGGCTAAATATAGCATTATGTATTTTGTGTAATAGCTCTTTAAAGGTGATTTACTAGAAGTAGCTTGGGTTTACACTATTTTAAATCCGGCCACATTTTAAAGAAACAATATCTTTAGTATAATAAATCCAGAAAGAAGGATAATACTGATACATAGCTAAAACTCACTAGGACAACCAGAAAATAAAGCTCCTCTTTTGCTTGTACATTTGCATGTCTGATCTCTCAAAACAGGCTTTAAGCCATTTATAAAGCCTGCCTTTGACATTGTTTGGGCTGGAAATTTATTCTCCCCAGTCATTACTATAAGCCACAGTTAAACAATGAATTTGCCATAAACATATATATTATAGTGGGTGGCTTTGTGCTGATGTGGGTTAAGAAATGTGTCTGATTTCTTTCACCAGCTAAGCTATGAGGGGGAAGGGTGAAAGGGGGAAAGATTCTCATGCAGGAATGTGGCAAGAAGTAGCTTGGGACAGTAATACTGTGAAACAGATCACATAATTTGCAGTGAAATTTTAGAGACATATAACAACACTTGACTGATAAGTATTTCCTGTTTTCAGTGGCCTCTTTTGCAATTTGCTTCAGCTCCAGCATTACTAATAATACTGTAACCTGGACTCCTCATTTTTTATTTAATTACAGGTATCTGTGGAGGGAAGAGCAAATCCTGTATCCCTGCTACAGATGGCTTCTTCCAGTGGCCTCTGCATTCTTGTTCGGTTGCCCAGGCTTGTTGCCAGTGGACAGACTCTCCCAAAGACCCTGTTGGACATCATGGCAGATAGTACCGTGTTGAAAGTTGGGGTAGGATGCTGGGAAGATGCTTGCAAGCTCCTTCATGATTATGGCCTTCCAGTCAAAGGGAGTGTGGATCTCCGGTATTTAGCCATGAGACAGCGGTAAGTGCCTGAAGACAGAGGCAGCTCTCTTGGAGGCGTCATTTAAGTTGGAAATATTTTTAAAGTAATTTGCATATGCTGAATGATATCAGTCTGGTAGGTTTGGAGTTCTCAGGGTGACTTTAGAGAATGGGCATTGACAGCTGCAGCCCGAGAACATGTCATGCTTATATTCTGTGGTCTTAATGGAAATGAAATCTTCATGAGGATTTCATTTGCTAATTGTGTCTGTTAGTCTTCTCATGCAATACCCTTATGCATTTTTCTGAGTATCATGCTTCAGCTTTTAAGAAGTCCAAGCACAGTGAGGTAATGCAGTGAGAGTGATCACTGTGTCAGCAGATGTTTGAATGCCTAGAAGTATGGGCTAAATGTGCCCAGAGCGTATAAGTAGGACTACTGAATTTCAAGATTTCTTGAAAAATTGCTAAATAAACCAGTTCTAATTTTCTCTTGTAATAAAAATGCTTGTATGGAAAGGTTACAATTATAATGGCATTTTCTTGTCCTTCATTCTTCCTAAAAATGTTTTACTTGCCTATATTCTTCATGTACAGTTATGTGTATGTCTAGGTGCAGTGTTAGTGATCTGGGCCATGGGTTTGCTGACCTGATGGTGCCTTTTTATCACTAAGGACATGAGGAAGGACTTGTCCCTAGTGGCCAGGATTCCTCTGAGTCATTCCTGGCTCTTCAGTTCCTCATGAATCCCTAGGGCAGGCAGTCCATCACTTTATGATGGAACTCTTTAGTTCAGAAGTGAGTATTTCAGAGGCAAACACTTCAGCCTTAAATGTTACCAACTCCCAGCCTTGACTGTTTTGCATATTGCAGACACAAGGTAATTACTAAAGGACATTTTAATGGAGGGGAGGGAGAAGGCCTTTAAAGCTGACAGGAAGCTGTGTGCTGTTTGGGAGTCATGCATCATGTGCATTATGCTCTGGTAGGTTCAGGGGCTAGGAGGCCATCTGAATTTGCATGAGTGTATACTTTCATTTTTAATATGTTTGTTTTACTTTCTTTGTTAAACTGAAGGAAGGATCTACTTCACAACTGCCTTAGCCTTAAGTCTTTAGCTGAAAAAGTCCTGAACTGCCCGCTTGACAAATCTCCTCATGTGCGTTGTAGCAACTGGGAGGCAGAAGAACTGGCACAAGATCAGGTGTGTCTTCCACTTTAACTTAGTGTTTTGGGAGGAAAAGTAACCTTCTTAGTAGAAAAAGAGGTTTACAACAGGGAGATCTGAACCTCTTCAAGTTCTGCCTCAAAACCTTGTATTTGTGACTGTGGTCTAAAGTTAATTTCAGACTCTCTGCGTTTCCCTCCTTTTTCTTGAAGATCATTTTCTACTGTTCTCCCTGGATACTTGGCCATTGTTTTCCTTTAGTCCTGAAACAAGGCAAGATCCCTTGAAGAAGTGTTTCCAAAACATCACCTTTTTATTACTTTCTTTTCTTCATTCTGTATCAGTGAGTGCAATATTAGAAAGACACTGGAAACCTTCTTTTGAGCATTATGGTTTCCCTGATTGCTGTTTCTTTAGTCAAGCTGCAGATGTCTGCGGTATCAGTCACCGGTAGAGGGAGTGACAGGACAAAGAATCACGCTGAATATTCGTAGCCAGTATGTCAAAAGGGAGCTTCTAACTAGTTAGGGAGAGCTTGGTGGGGTAGGAGGGTGTTATAGGGCCTGGCTGACCTGAATTTTTTCACTCCCTTGCAGTTCCTAGTGGTACCCATGAGTATTTCAAGTCTGACTGACCCTAAAAATGTGGGGTGTGGTGATGTTATGAAAGTGCCACTCAACTGGTAAAACTTTGAACTTCGAAAGGAAATGAATACAGCTTCTGGCTTTACTGTACCAAGTGTTGAAGACTAATAATGTCTGGGAGTATTTGCTGTTTGTCCATATCTAGATGTCTGTGCTTTTCTGCAGGTCCTTTATGCTGCTAGGGATGCCCAGGTCTCAGTGGCTCTGTTCCTCCATTTGCTGGGATTTGCTGGCCTCCCTGCTACCTCTGAAGGTGAAAACTCTGTCGCTGCTTGGGAAAAAGCATTGGGTAAATGCCGGGGCTTGGTGGATATCCCATTTAGAGGAAGAAAGAGTAGCAGCACAGGAGAAGAGAAGAGTGGAGATGGACACTCGCCTCAGAAAACAAAGAATCGGAAATCTTGGGTGAATGGCCATCCCTCCGGCAATCATCAAGTGAGAGATCCACGGAGGCAGAAGCGAAAGCCTCTGGGTGTGGGGTATTCTGCACGGTAAGTATATGGCCACACTTTACTCTTTGCACCGCAGATGGAAAACTTTGAATGGTGCCCCTTGCTCTATTCATTAAACAAAGTGAATAATATGAGCTAGAAAAGGAAATGCAGGACATAACAGTCATGGGAGCCAGATCCTGTTTCTGTCTTCCTGATTTCTCTCTAGATGGTATTAGAAGCAGGGCAGCACTTGGATCTATACTAGGTCATGAGCAAGTTAAAGTGTTGTCTTCCACTTTTACCCTTCTTTCTCCTATGGAAGCATTAGCCAGAAGCAGAGTCCCAGCAAGAGGTATTATTCCTGGGGTGTCCTGCCCAGGGCCAGGAGTTGGACTCAGCAATCCTGATGGGTCCCTTCTGACTCAGCATATTCTATGATTCTGCTGCCCAAACAGCTCTGCCTTTTCTCCTTCAGGCAAAAGGTGGCAACTGCATAGAGCTTATCCTTTCATCAGGATCTAGCTCATAGACTGCTGTTCTTACTTTGCTGTCCCATGTCACTGGGGCCACAGAGATGGCAGAGTACTGAGCAGAGCTGAAAGCTAAGGTTAACAGGGGTAGGACATGTTATCTGAGGTGCCAGATGGCACAGGAAGGAACAGTCTGTGGTAGCAACAGAGCACTGCCCCTCCGCATTGGTCTGGGAAAGAGAGGAGGGAACGGTACTACTTTGGACTAGCAGAGGCAGCTGCTGCTGGATTCAGGATCACTGTCTTCTTCACTGTCTTAGGATCTTTGGAATGGATCCTAAATTCTTACAGCCTTTTGCTAATAAGAGTGCAAAACTAGCTGGAGAAATCTCTTTAAGATCAGTGCAGTGGAAGATGTGGGGAGCTAGTATGTTTGGTTTTGTTGGGATACAATCTAATAAAATTTATCACCGGATATAGGAACTAAAATGTAATCATCATTGGGAAAGAAAGCCAGACATTTTAGTGTTTGTTTTCTCCTTTTTAAGTTTATTGGATTGGCAATGGAGACATCGTAATGTAGTCAATAATACTGATTTCATTAGCAGTCATTAACAGTATTGTGTTTTACACAGCAAGTCCCTCCGTTTTTTTTATTTTTTTTTTTATTGGGAGGCTATGTCATGCAAAACAGGAGTATTGTGTCTCATGGGAGGATTAAAATTTAAACAAAATTACTTTCCAAGCTAAATTGAGATTCCCCCATATTTGTTTATTTATTTTTTGTTTTAACTGTGCTGGACTTTTTGAAAGATCTGTAGACTCAGTGTTTTTTATAGTATTTACAGCAGTGTGGCTCTGGTCTGTAGTAACACTGGATGTGGTTTCAAAAGTGATTTTCACTCTTCCTTTCTGTTTAAATCTGTTTAGTTTTAATGTTTATTCATTTAGAGTTGGCACGTACTGTAATTGTTATGGTGACTGAATTGAACTCTTGATGCTCAGTGGAAGGGACCTCCTGTATCATTGTTTTTTGGTGCTTTTTCCCCCTCATGGGCCTAAGAAGAAATCCTTTTGTCAGATTATATAGCCTGTGAATCAACCTTTTTAATTGGTAGAGCTCTGCTGACTACAGCTTGTACAGTCTCGCTGGAGAGAAGAAAAGAAACTTTTCCTCAGTCTGACATGTCTGGCCAGTTCCTCCCAGGTCCTCTCTAAGCCCGACCTGTCCACTCTTCAGTTTTGTTAGAAGGAGGTTGGCAGAGTAAGGAAACACTTTCTCCAAAACAGAGCCCTTACACACGCTGCCACAAACCACCAGAGACTGCTCCAGCAGGAATTCTTGTCCCTGCCACAGGGACAAGGACCTCAGCTCAGCTTCATTGTTCTCATGGACTCATGTGTTTGAGTCCCCCAGACTTTCTGGAGCATTTCTCTTGGCTAAATGAAATAATTGCTATTCACACTAAGTTTTAGAAACATTTCCTTAATAAAGCATTAAAATACAGCCTTAGGCAGCCAATCCTTGAAACTGCCTCACCAGTAAGTTGACACTCTCTTTGAACTTACTCTTGGCTCATCATCCTTGTGACTTCCATTTTCTTTTGTTTTCTAATGCAATTTTTTTTAAAGGCTGTCATCATTGATGGCACCTCTTGAAAACTGGGGTTCAGAGTTACAATTCTGTTGGCAGCAGGAGAGCAAAGATAGCTTAGAGTTAGTGAACCCTAGATAAGTTTTTAGATGTACTGCTTCCCTTAGCAGCAACCTGTGCAGTCTCAGCAGCCTCAAGTGTGTGTTTAGGGGCACTCCTGTGATTTGGAGGAGGCCCCATGAACTGGAGTGTGGCACCGATGGCTACAGAGAGCTCTGAGTTTTTTTGGCATGCTATTATAGTTGCTGTAATGCTGTCCTTTTTGTAATGCTGTAATGCTGTTTCATAGAAAATCTCCACTGTATGACAACTGCTTCCTGCATGCACCAGATGGGCAACCCCTGTGCACTTGTGATCGCAAGAAGGCCCAGTGGTATCTGGACAAGGGGATTGGAGGTAGGCATACCAGAATTTCAGGTGGTATTTGAAATACAGCTTTTCTCCCTTCTTCTCCTTTCTTCTCCCTTCTTCTCCCTTCTTCTCCTTTCTCCCTTCTTCTCCCTTCTTCTCCCTTCTTCTCCCTTCTTCTCCCTTCTTCTCCCTTCTTCTCCCTTCTTCTTCTCCTTCTTCTTCTCCCTTCTTCTTCTCCTTCTTCTTCTCCCTTCTTCTTCTCCCTTCTTCTTCTCCCTTCTTCTTCTCCCTTCTTCTTCTCCCTTCTTCTTCTCCCTTCTTCTTCTCCCTTCTTCTTCTCCCTTCTTCTTCTCCCTTCTTCTTCTCCCTTCTTCTTCTCCCTTCTTCTTCTCCTTCTTCTTCTCCTTCTTCTTCTCCCTTCTTCTTCTCCTTCTTCTTCTTCCTTCTTCTTCTCCCTTCTTCTTCTCCCTTCTTCTTCTCCCTTCTTCTTCTCCCTTCTCCCTTCTGCCTTCTTCTCCCTTCTCCCTTCTTCTCCTTTCTCCTTTCTCCCTTCTTCTCCCTTCTCCCCTCTCCCCTCCTCTCCCCTCCCTTGCCCTCCCTTCTTCTCCTTGTTTCTTAGTTAATGAATCATGAATTGTATCCTCTCTTACTGAAAATACTGTTTGGGATTTGCTAAGATGACTCTTACATTGTAGCATTGTTGTTTAAGCTTTCAAATACAAATTTGTTTTGAATATTCTCTCTTTGCCTTTACCCTTTCAGAGCTAGTTAGCACAGACCCATTTGTTGTGAAGCTGCGGTTTGAGCCTTCAGGACGTCCTGAGTCTCAAGTTGATTATTATCTGACAGTCAAAGAAAACCTGTGTGTTGTATGTGGCAAGCGAGAATCCTATATCCGGTGAGTTGTTTAGTGGATAGGGGAAAACCGCATCTTTTAAAACAGAACTGAGGTTTGCATCTAGTTTGGCATCCATAGCTTGGTCAGTGGCCTGAAACATTATGCTTGTTCATGTCCTGGATAGGCTATCACTATTTGAATGCTCTGTAGTTGTATGTGACTGGGTAAGTTTGGCAGTGAAGAGACTGGCCTTTCCTCTGAGAGAAGGTGATATCGATCCGAGGAGATAACAAAGCTCTCATGGAACATGTATGTGCTGCAGTTTGAATGAGGGGGGCAGCAGTGTGCTGACACACACTGTTCAGGTGGCATCCTCTTCTGAAAATAGCTATTCTAGTCCTTCTACTGCTTAATCCATACATTTTTAAAAGGTTTAGGTGAGCCTAAAGCTCATGAGGTCAAAAGGAACGAGATTTTTGTCTTTGCAGTTGCTACTGATTAGTTGAGAAATATACTTCTCATAGAGCATTACTTTATTTTTTTTTTTTACAGTAGGAATCTTTTTCTTTTTGATTGAAAGGGATGAATCTTTGGATGGGGAAAAAAGAGAAATGCAGAAAACCTGTAGAGACAACTACAAATAAAAAGAATAAAAATAATCTCTTGCTGTACTACGGATCCTGATCCTGGTAATCTTTGTTTTCCTGGACTTTAACTTTTACTTAACACTTTCTAGGCCAGGAAGAAGAGGAACTGAGGAGTAGGAACTCCAGACAAATGTAATGAACTGTCTATTTTGTCTTCTCTAGGAAGAACGTTGTTCCTCATGAATACCGAAGACACTTCCCCATTCAGATGAAGGACCACAACTCCCATGACGTGCTCCTACTCTGCACATCCTGCCATGCCATTTCCAATTACTATGACAACCATCTCAAGCAGCAGCTGGCTGAGGAGTTTGGTGCCCCCATCGGCTCCGAGGAAGGTGTGCGTCTGCTGGAGGACCCTCTGCGCAGGCAAGTGCGCTCGGGAGCGCGAGCCCTGCTGAATGCAGACAGCCTGCCTGACCCCCGAAGGGCAGAGCTTCTGCAAAGCATCAAGGACTTCTTTAACACTGAGACAGTCACCCCAGAAATGCTCCAGGAAGCAGCTGGTCTGGAAACCAGGTATAACAAGCCCATCAGTAGGTGTCAGATTTTGGTAATTTATATTGTATTTCTTACTGGTTTTGGTTTTGTTTACATGCTTTGCCCTGCAAGCCAGCAGTGGTCTGTGAACTGCAGCTCTTGTTTCTTCCCCACTTTCCCTTCCTCTTCCAGCAGTCTTCTGTTTTTGCTCTCCATCTTCCCCTCCAACACTTTATACTTCTTTTGAAGGACAGATCAGGAAGAGAGGTTGAAGGACAATTATATCGGAATTCTCCTCCACTTTCTCAAAGCCTCTCCAAATATCTTTTCTTAACGAGTATCTAGTCTTTGTCTGCATGAAATCAGTATTTTCTCCTTTTTATGCTCACTGTTGTTTGTAATGTGCCAATGTTATAACTCAGAATCTATCCAGGCAGAGAATTCAGTGGAAGGATCTGGAGGGTCATATAGTTCTTACCTTGGAGAAATTTGCAGTCTGTTTCCTGAGGAGCTTGTAATGGACGTAAAGAGCTTTGTTTAGTGTTGCTGTAAAAGAAGAATACTCTTAGTTCAGAGAAACCAGCTTCACAGTGTAACTGTGTTCCAGAAAGCAGTCTGGCATTGAAGCAGACCTTAAAACTCTCCCTCTTGGTTATCTTACCATGTGTCTGTAATTAAACTCTGCAGCTGAAAGTATCTTTAGTGTCTTGCTGGTCATCGGAGACAGATCTAGAGTCTGACAGTGGGCTTGTGTGAAACTAAACTCTGCTTGTGCCTTGGCAGGATCTGCAATGAGAGCTACATGCCACATGGACTGAAGGTGGTGCAGTGTTTTGCTAAAGGAGGCCTGCGCTCCCTTATGCAGTTGGAAAGACGCTGGCGGCAGCACTTTTTGGACAGTATGCAGCCCAAGCACCTCCCAGAGCAATGGTCAGTGGATCATAACCACATGAAGCTGATCCGAAAGTATGGGGAGGATCTTCAGATTGAGCTGTCATGAAACTAAGTCCCTGAACTCTGGATAGTGTCTAATGAACACATGTAACTGAAGATCACACTGGGATTGGATCAAGGGTTGGACTTGATGATCTCTTCCAACCCAGTTAATTCTATGATTCTATGATTCTTAGATGGAAGGACTATTTTTATCTCTATGTCTTCACTAACACCTGGATCTGGGTTTGCAAACAGGTAGCAGTAGATCTGCCAGATTTGACATTTTTATAGAGTTAAATTTGACAGTTAGATCCATTGACTCTAACTTTCAGATGGTTTGGAATGTTTAATCCTAGTCTGTCACTCACTAGCTGAGGGGAACTTGTCTTCTCAAAGTGAATATGGAGAATTATTTTCCTCAAGCCTCCAGGGTGCTTGATGCCTGCAGACCATCTCTCAACATAGAGCACAATATATGAACTTTTCCACATTTTCTGACGTAAATTTGTACCCTTGACTTCACCTTTAGTCCCATGATAAAAATCTGTCTTTGTTTTCAGTGCAGTTGTATTTATATGAGTTCTTCTTAGAGAAGTCCCTCTGCCAGAGAGAGATTTCTTGTTTGGAACTAGCAAAGAAGCCTTACCTTTTTGCAAATTCTAAGGTTTACCAGCATTGCAGATAGGCCTCAGCAAGTTTCCTAGTGGCAGGTGCCTGATGAGAAGTAACACTCTAGCTCTGGCAGCGTGGAAGCACCTATGCCAAGTCTTTTGTTAAACAGCTTCCAGCAACACACAGTTTATAAAAATGTTCTTTCCTAATTCTGCTTGTCTGTCTTGAATAGTGTGCACATGCCTCCAAGGCTGCGATCTTATTGGCATTACAGAGACAGGGTGGGATGACTCCTATGACTGGAGTGTTGGAATGGTAGGATACAGGCTGTTTAAGAAGAACAGGCATGGAGGTGTCTCACCTTCTGTGTCAACGACTGGCTGGAGTGCATGGAGCTCAGCCTAGGGATGGATGAGGAGTTTATGAGACAGGATTAAGGAGGACAGGGACGGGTGACATTACGGTGGAGGTCTGCTACAGGTCACCCAACCGGGAAGATTGAGTGGATGAAGCCGTCTACAGACAGATAAAAGCAGCCTCATGTTCACCAGCCTTGGTCGTCATGGGAGACTTCAACCATCCCCATATCTGTTGGAGGGACAACACAGCAGGGCATAAGCAATTCAGGAGGTTCCTGGAATGTGTTGATAACTTCTCCAGAAAGTCAACCTCATCCTGGGCTGCATCAAAAGAGGCATGACCAGTAGGTCAAAGGAGGTGATTCTCCAATCTACTTTGCTCTCATGAGACCCATGTGGAGTACTGCGTCCAGCTCTGGGGCCCCCAGCATAACAGAGTGAGTCCAGAGAAGAGCTACAAAGATGATCAGAGGGCTGGAACATCTGTCTTACAAAGACAGGCTAAGAGAGGTGTTCAGCCTGGAGAACAGAAGTCTCTGGAGAGACCTTATTGGTACCTTAGCGGTACAACAAGGAGGAATGGCTTTAAACTGAAAGAGAGTAGGTTTAGGCACAGGTTGCCCAGAGAGAAGCTGTGGGTTCCCCATCCCTGGAAGTGCTCAAGGCCATGTTGGATGGAGCTCTGAGCAAGCTGATCTAGTGAAAGGTGTCCCTGCCCATGGCTGGGAAGTTGGAATTGGATGATCTTTAAGGTTATTTCCAACCCAAACCATTCTATAATTTTATGAATAGCTCTTAGGGAGTTACCTTTTCGTATCAGACTGAAATAAGTACAGGTGTCTTAAAAGGAATTAGAGGAAACAAATTTAAATTAAAGACCAGCATCTTTTAAGAGATCAGACCATATGTGGCCGAAAAATGGAAAATCTGTTGTTCTGTACCTGGATTTGACATGTGTAGTGATGAGCAGGTCATACTTGCTCCATTCTTGTTTCCCTGCCTCTAACATGGGACTAATAATGCTCAATTATCTCACAAGGATGTTGTGAGGCTTAATTAATACATATGTTTATAAAATGCTTTGAAAATATAAGCTAATTATGTATGCTAATTATTACTGTTGTTTTTTAAAATGTGCTGTTGTCTCACTTACTTAAATATTCACCTTTTTTGTCTGGTGCTAGACCTTAGTTAAATATAACTTTTTAAAAATACATACTCCTTTCTGTAAAATCGCTTCTGATGATTTTGATTGCATGAGATGAGTGTGCTTCGACTGAATGATGAAGCTCTTACCAACTTTTATATGTTTCTGTAAAGAAGTTTCAGTAAAACCCTTATCTTACTTCACACTACTGCGCATAGCACAGTTGACCCACATTTTATTATGATGTTTGGGCAGAATCCTGGACCTGCTGTGATCATGGCTGAAACTGTCCCTTATCAGATAATTCAAGAAATTCCACAGGCCAGGGGTGAAAATCCTGTTTGTAGCAGAGACTGATTGAGATAAGTAAGAGCTGTGGAGAAATGGTACATTAATGTCATCCCAGAGGAACTGGAATAGCAGCATGAGGAATCAAAGATTCATGATAAATACTACTTATCACAGAGCTGCAAATGAGACCATTTTCATTATAAGGGCAATTTTATTTCTTTCCTATATCACTGGCAGGTCTTAACAAAAACTCATCTAGCCAAATGTGGTTTTTCTCTGTGCTCATTCACACAGCTGATTATAATCTCAGCAAGAACCTCCTGCCTACAGCAGCAGCTTGGATATAACTATTTCTCTCCAAAGCATTTTAAGTGTGTGTTCAGATAGCTTGTTGAGAGCTCTTTGCATGGCTCAGAAGCTACTTTTCAGTCATCGGGAGTATAAGGTGTCCATCTCACATTTTTGTTTTGCTTTGGTTTTTCTCCCTTTTTTCTGATGTAGGAACTGCTGATAAAACTGGTTTGTTTAATGGAGCTGATTGGCTGACCACAGGGTTAGGGCCTTTTCTGTTTGTTGAGATAAGAAAATAATGTTGATACAAGAAATGGACTACAGGATCTCTATTGTTAAGGAGCCAAAGGTATCATTGAAGAGGTTTCTTTCCAAATCACTTGTTCAGAAATAGGAACTGGCAAGGAAAACTTACTTCACAAATATTTTATAAACTAAGATTCTTTGCTATTTGTAAGATATCCTTAACTTGCATCATTTTAAGTCAATCTGAAAGAGGAGAAGAAGTGATATATTTATTGTACATAAATAGATTATTTTTATATTATTATGATTTTAAATTTTATGTCAGTCTATAGATAAAACTTCCTTGTATACCTTCATTGCTAATTGTTACATTCTGTAAAAATTTACTGTTTTACCAGACTTAACACTTTTGAAGCTCTTTTTTCCTTTCTTTGCATGCCTGCCTTTTCTCTTCTTTCCCCATGTCTGACCCAGTCCTTACGAGTCCATCATTCCTTACAGTAACACTGGACTTCACTCTCTGAGTTTTCCTTTCCAATGCTTTTCCTGATCTGTGTGTCAGAGATCAGCTGTGGAGGAGCCCATGCTAGCAGCAATACTGTACTTCTAAGCACTGTGACAGCAAGTTTACTCAGGTATGTTTGAATAATGGGTTCAGATGCTGTCCTTGGCGTGGTCATGTTGGTCACTCATGACAGCTACAGATCTACATTTTTCCAAAAAAAAAAAAACCACCTTAGGTTTTTCTCAACCTGAGCGTTCATTTAGGTTGCTCCAAGTATTTTACCTTAACTAGGACCCTTCTTCACTTAAGCATGCACATCCCTTTTGTCTTTGGAGGGAAAGAATTGCAATTCCTCTCTGTATGGACTGGGTTTTACAACATGGGATTTTTCTTTCTGTTGCTCGTCACTTCACATTTGTAAGTTTGTCCAAGATACACTGCCAGAGATGGGGGAGAGAAATCTTCCCTTTTACCTGGTACTTTGTTCCACCTGCCTCAAATTGTTTCTTTCAGGTTAGTGGGGAGCATGCTCCGGCTGCTGAGGTCCTCAAACCTATCTTGGCTTATGAATTGCCTGCAGAACTTACCTCCATCCTTTTTGTTTCATGTGTTTTGCCCATGTGAAACAGCTGTGCTTCTGTAAGATGACTGGGTACATGTTTCCAGAGACAGTCCTCTGGAGTGGGAGTAGCAGCAGCCCCTGTGGCAGATTAGCTTCCCGTCCCCCATGGGCTACAAACTGATTTCTGTCTTTCCAAACACTACAGTTTGTGTTTTTTCTTGATTTTTCAGTAACTTAGATATTATTGCAAGGTGCAGGAATTACTGGCTGAGCAGCATTTTTGATAGCCTGTCTGTTGGAGGTGCAGTAAGTGCTGCATTTTTGAGCAGATCATGTATGACATGTTAATTATGCTGCTGACAGACTTGGCATTTGGAGTGCCTTGGTTTTCCTCCTTTGACAGTCTTTGAAGGTCCCATCTGTCACATTTGTGATTGACAGGACTGAAGACAGCATATCCTTATGGACTTCTTGCATTTTTCCCTGTTTAGTATTCAGTAATGGCAAGGATGGGAAGCTCTCTTCCTGTTGCATTGCTATTGCTCTGGCTCCTTAGGGAATGTCTGAACTCTGCACTATCTGTAACATGGTTTTGGTGAGTTTTTCAGTGAAATGTGGTTATCCTTGAGAAGTACCTCACTGCCTTGGTCTAGTGCCTAAATGCCTTTGAGAAACTGGGTGTATTGCACATGCAGAGGGAGTCTTTGTAATGAGGAGCCACCAGGAGCCCTTGCCAGTCTGCAGTGTTCTGTACTGATTTAAGGCACCTCTGGTCTGAACCAGGAAATCAATTCCCATCACTGCTCCTTGATCTCCTCCTTCTGTTGGGCCTCCAAAGTAACCCAAACCTATATGACCTTCTTCATTCCCACAGGCTGACACAAACTGCCATCCCCTTGGTATTCTTGGGGAGTAGGTGCCACTTTTAAAGTCCTTTCTCTCTCTTCAAGTACCATGTTATTGGTACAAGGACTTTTCCCCACCCTCAGGGGGAAGGGCAGAGGCAGTTTGAGGTAAGTGCAAAGAAGACATACACAGTTTTCTCTGGGAGTTATTAAAGGAGCCACAGTGTGTCCTCTTGTATTAGACCTGCATCAAGGGAGTTTTGTTAAATGCTTTTACAGATAAAGAGGGTAATGCAAGAGCCAACATGGTTAAGCTTAGTAGAGGAAATCACCGCCCCCCCAGCCAAATAAACATGCATGGAACATAATTTCTCATATTCAAAACAGATTCCTCTATCACTGTGAATTCTACCATGAAGAGCAGGCAGCTCTGGCAAGGATTTTCTGTGCTAAGGTTAGTGCTGCATCCTCTTTTGGCACTTAACTGCAACAGAGCTTATTTCTGTTTTGAATTAGCCAGCATAATGCTACCTGGGGTCTCAGTGGTGTTGGTCACCAGGAAACAGAGCAAAACCATCTTTCTTTTATTACTTTTCTTTGCTCCCCCTTGAGATGGGGGGGAGTAAAAAGAACAGGAAAAAAAAAGGATGGAGACTTTTACTGTAAAATAGAGATGTCATCTTCAGATAACAAGAAGCCATTTCCTTGTATGGGAAAAACTCCAGCTTCTGCTATAGATGATGGAAAATATGGTTTCTGTCTTTCAGTGCTTAAAAAATTGAAAGATTGTGCAGCAGTTAAAGAGCAAAAAAGAGAAGGCATTTATATATCTTGACGTGAATGTAACAAGTCTGAGAAAAAGGTACTAGGCAGCTGTCAGGAATGCAGGCCTAAGAGAAAAACTGCCTGTCCGTGCTCCCTTCACAAAAAACCTGCTTCTCTAAGAAGCTACTTCACATTGCAGCATACTCTGTGGGAATTTGACGTGTATCTGTTTCACATTGATTAGCAGCAAGTCCTTTCCAGTTGATTGTCCTTTGAAAAATGTCAGACAGTACTTTGCATCAGCTGAGACCTGCCAGTTGCTTTTCCTTTTTCTGCTTTGCCATGACTCTGCCCAGGACTTTTAGCCGTAAATAAAAGCAGAGACTGACTGCTGGGGCGTGTGAAAATATGAGTGGGACTCTCTTTCAATGCACTATGAATAAAAGAATCATTATCCCTACTTGTCTAGCAAGGGCTATGGAGAGTTCAAATCTGAGCTATAAGTATGTGTGTATAGATTTATGTCAGATTTTTGCTATTCAGATAATGTTTTCCATATGTTTTAAAAGCATTACACTCTCTTCTGTCCCCCTCTGGTTCTCCTGTGATATATGAGTAGCAATACTAGATGTTGTTCAGCTGCATGTCTCAAAGCACTGTGTTGGTGTTTTAAAGACCAGCTCCATTTTACAGATATTTTCCCCACACTAGAAGAAGAGTCGGTCCAAGCACTAAAATTGGAACTTACTAAGTCCTTACAGAGCCCTGGGAAATATCAGACTAGACTGCCCATCTCTTGACAGATTGCTTACAGAGGAGAAAACGGCCTTCAAGTACATGTTCTGTGCACCATAGGTGATGCTGAGTGTTAGACCCTCAAGAATACCCAAATACAATTTTTTTTTTCTCTGCCTTGCAAATGGGCATTGGGACTCTTAGTGCCGCTGGGCTCTGGCACCATTAGCTGCATGGTGCCAGTTCTGCTCCACTGCTTTCAAGGTTTGCAGTGTATAGTGAAATACTAGAGCACGTAAGGCCTGCTGCAATTTTGGACAAAGAAGCCAGCAGGTGAGGTAAATACAAGTAGATGAACTTAAGAGCTAAAAAAGTGGGTTATCTATATTTCACTCAATTGGAATAACCACCAGTTAGAAAAACTTCCTGCTACCCAGCATGCTTCTGTTGGATGTGTTTTGCTGCCTGCTGTGGCTAGTCACTGGGTTCATAGCAAAAGCTTGTTTTTCATGAGGGGCTGCAGTAGGGGACAAGGAAGAGAAATTGCTATAGAGATCAAGTTTGCACTTAGGTCATAACCTCAATTGTCTCCTGGCCTGCCTCACCCTAACCTAGGAGGAAGAGGAGCTGAAGGAAGCCTGACTGGGGTCCTTGTCCTCCTCACTGTCTCTTTTGCTGAAGACCTGCTACTCTGGAAGTAGAGTTCTGTGCTCTGCAGGGGACATCAGTGTGGAAATGTGGCTTACAAGCCAAGTCCAGAAGTGAGTTTGTCTAGGGGAAACAAAGAACTGAGAGAAAAGAAGATGAATAAGATACATATTGTGGTG